TTTTAAAGCATTCTGTTTGTTAAGTTTGGGACGATGCTCATTATTTTATCATATTCAGCACAAAAAGGTTCATGCCCCCTTTTTGGCTGCAGAAATGCTGGCACTGTCGCTGGGTTTGCCCATGCATGTTTCAGAGATTTGGTGGAATTCCTCGCACAAATGTTGCGGTAATTTCAGTTTCCCAGCAGGATGCATGACTTTGGATGACATTCTGCTCCAGCCCACTCACCTCACTGTGGTTGCATGGCTCATGTCAGACCATAGTGATACTATAGTCAGCAGCTTATTCTGGCTTCCACCAGCAGCGTGTTGGTCATGGTGTGTGTGTTCCAGCCATGGTGTGTTAGTGTGTGTGCCATGCTTAACAGACTGCAACTCTGTGTGACTGGCCTTCCTTTTGCCACCCCAAAATGCATGCCATGGCAGGCAAGGACACAATTCTCCAATCGCTCGTACAGTCCTCACATAGAACCATACACATAGTTCCTCCAGTTATTTTGATGTTTTAGGTAGCACTTTAAATGTGCCGTTTCCCCAATGTAGTCTCATCCCGATGGGTCGTTTTGACATTCTGTCGTTATTTCCTGCACGGAGCCACAACCATCGTCTACACTACTACAGCAGTATATTTAATGTCTCTTGAGGATTGACTGGATTTCTCCTTAAATGTGCACACTCCATCTCACCACTTGATGTAAAGTAGTTTCTACATAATGGCACACCAGTTGTCAGAGATTATCTAAAATCAATAGAAGTGCTCAGATGTGTAACCAGAAGTACTGAATTTCAAAGGGCAATTTTCACTGAAAGAATGTTCTACAGGGGCAACAACATTATTGACCTCGAATATATAAGGTGTTTGTTGGATTTAGCCAGTGACAAAACAGGCAATCCCTGTTTTGATATTGTAGTAACTTGATACTATACTGTTTTTTCTTAGATCTTTGTTTTTGCACATTTACAGCTTATATGCTTTTAATTTTATTGTATAACATAACATAAACCGTTTAAACACAGTTCTTATTGTTAGTTTTTTTCTGTAAAACAATATATGTATAATAAGATAAAGACTCCAGCATTACATTTTTAACTGTTTCAAAATGGATTCCATGCAGTCTGAGGAAGTGCGGTAGTTTCCTTGCGCTTCTGTGGCGCACAGTGCCAATTCAAGGAAACTGAGAGAGGGTACTCCTGTGGTTTTCACACCGGAATGGCTTCCCTGTCTGTATCACACCTTCTGCTAGCTGTTAGCCCCATGGAGAGAGGCAGATAGTCACTTTGGGCACATTATTTTTCATTGACAGATTCAAAGCAGAAATACCATCTGCACATGAGGTTGCATTTTTTTTTTTTAAACTGGAACTGTTTAATAAACTGTATGAAAACTGCCCTCATATTATATCTTATACTTTAATGGTAGATCCTGAGAAAATGAAGCATAGTCACTGATCTCAAAAGTTCTAAATAGATTTTAAAACACTTATAATATATTTTTGTGTAAAGCTCACAGAGAAAACATACCTGAAGTGCATCTATACAGTCTATTCTTATTTCTGTCTTTAGTGATGGTGTTCGTGTAATTATCGGTCACAGCCACTAGGGGGATACAGTTTCTGGCTAGGGTGGTCACATACATGTAGTGGAGGAGGACTAGGATTTTCTCTGTATGATCTCTGGTGTTGCGTGGATTTCTCCCACACATACACACATACACATATGGATCCCAACACACACACAGTTATTAAAGAAATGTTTACTATTCACATTTTGCAGGTCTGAGGAAGTGTGCTCTGTGAGTCAAAAGTGGCAATAACTCTCCCCACTCTCCCCAGAGTATCTGTCATTACCATATGACTAGTTTTTGCCAGACAGCCTGTGTGTGTGTGTCTGTGTGTGTGTGTGCGTGTGTGAGTGTAAGCTTGTGAAAGAGAGTGAAATGCCAATGTTTCTATACGTGCAAGTGCTTGTGTGAACACACTTTTTTTGTATGTTTGCATTTATGTGTGGGCCCAATGCATCTCTCACCTTCCCACTACTCAGAGGCAAAATGAAGTCTGTCTGGCAGTGAATGTCTATTGTGTAGTGCTAATGTGATAGCAGAGATTAGCATTGTAATCCATTTAGCATAGAGCAGCTAATCCACTTTATTACTGTTGAAAAGGAATCAGATAATATTGGCTAGCACCACTGTGGCTGCCTTAATGATTTTAGGCTGATGAAAAAATTACTTAAAGATATATTAATAATTACTGTAGCTGACAATGAAACTAGGATTAGTTGTTTCATTACAAAACATAATCATTAGCTTTGGCTCTTCGTCAAGGGAATTAAGGTATTGGTTGTGTTCAGTCTATGCTTAGTAGGCTCTTTGTTTGAAGATACTGTGTGTTTTTGTTGTAATAAAAATCACACACATCTGTTTATTTTCATTTAATTTTAGAATAGCACTTTAGGTTAATATTTTGGAATATTATGCCTTTTTAAAGCGCCGCGTGTGATATCAGGGGAGATGAAGTCTGCTCTAACTGTGCCCAGGGTGACCATGCTGTGTTGATTGAAAAAAAATATAGGGTGAAATTGTATACATTTATAAACCTTGAGTTCTTTCTTTCTCCCTTGTGTGTTCCACTCGAGTCCCACTGTGACTCAACCAGCCAGCGTTGCATGCCGTGCACTCCCTGGTGGCTCATTTGTTTTGTCAGTGGTCAGATTGAGGGATAATATACAGGAGCTTCCCCTTGAAGTCCCTCTGCTCCCTGGTGACTGTGGATCTGTCCCAACACAATAAAACTCTATATTCAGCCATTGCCATAGACTACCTGCCCTTTAACTCTGCTCAGCAATTGGCTCCACACTCCACACATACGTACACTCTGTGCGCATACGCACCGCGTCTCAACTTAACTCACCCGATAGGGCAGATTAGATAACCCCACCTGCCGAATCTGGCCCTGGCTCGCGTGGAAATTTCTTTCTTCCTACCTCCCTCTCTTCTTACTCTCTCTCCTATTCGCCTTCTGTTCTTTTCTTTGCAACTGACCCTAGTGCATACAATGGTTCCCAGTGAAAGTGTGTGAGGCTTTGATACACAGAACTCAAGGTCCTTTGAGATCAAGATCACTACACAAGCCAAGCAGGAGGCAGAGCGAGAGAGGAAGAATGACTAAGAAACAAAAGAGAGGAGGGAGAGTAGGGTGAAATCAGGGTGAAAGATGGGGCCTGTTTAAAGAAATGTCATGTTGTGAAACTGTATATCAATAGAAGCAGCAGGAGTAGGGTACGATGTAAACTGCACCCTGTGTGCTTAGGTTTCTTTCTTTACTATACAATAGTTGATTGTCAAAGTAAGTACAAAAAAAGTTCCGTTGGTGGTTGTTGATTGGTTCCTGTTATAATTGTAGAATAAAGTTAAGGGCTGGAGCGACTGACATTCAGTCACTGAAGTATGAATAATGTGCATATTGTGTTCTTAGTACTTGCTATTTTATTATGAAGGGGGGAGAAATATATATAGAGAATTGTTGTACAAAAGCCTTTCCTCTTTAATTATTTTAATGTGACTATTTGATCTTTTCTTTACAATAAATCTCACCTCGACCACAATCAATTTTGTCCAGCCCCCAACAAAGATCGGTTCTGTTTCAATTGGTACAGCAGCATTTTGCTAAAGGGTTCAGTCTATCTAATTAGACCAGTTAAGACTTCTCAACCTTTTGCTTAAAGCGGGCCAGCAGAAAGATATTTTTAATGATATGCTGACAGAGTGTATGTTGTCATCAGCATATTATAATTAATCATGAAGTGACTCACCTGTCTACTCGACCATCTGCTTCCTGCCCAATTATCTCCCGTTTGTGCCCGTTACCTGTGAACCCTTAAGTGCTGAAGAGCACAAAGAACTACCAAGAGTCATCACAACTTTAACAAGACTTGCTTCACACCTGTCTGCAAGCCCACACAAGTCTGTGTGTCTGTGCATGTGCGCGTGTGCACGTGTATTCTACTGGGTGCTGAAAGTTGCTTGGGTAGGTATATGTCAGGACTGTGTGTTAGTGGGAAATTACTGCCAGAGGACCAGATTTAGAAAGGATCATTTGGAACGCACCCTGTGAGTGTGCGTGTGTGTGACGATGTAAGCAGATGTTCGGGCACAACCCAGAACACTTCCATCACACCACCAAGTGTGTATGGGGCCAGTTCCATTCACTTCTGCTGAGTAAACACACCTAGGGGCCCACAGACCACACCTCTTGCCCAGATGCCTAATTACCGTAATCACTTTTGAATGGCTGAAACTGTGATAGAGAGAGATGAGCTTCTCAGATACAGCACTGAAAGCCGTGATGCATGCCTAAGGCAGTATGCGGTAGATGGGCAATTTTATCAATAATAATGTTCAAAAGTACCTTTTAATGATACCTTGATTCCTAATTGCACACTTTGTTGTCCTAGATGCCACCTTTGTTCCATTACCAAGTATTCTTGAGGAAGGCGACATACATACTCTCTCCCTCATGTTACTTCTTTTTTACCTCAGCTATTCTGTATTTCCATTTTATTTATTCTTACTATCCTATCCTACTATCCTTACGACTTGTGGGATATCATTCATAACATAGAGTGCTTGATGGATGTTGAATTCAAAAACCCAAACCAATTGCGAAAATGTCACTTACCCAGACCAAAGCACTTAACCCCCTTTGTATCCATATTATTCATATAGCTGCATCTAACACACAGAGGTATTTTTTTTTTTAGCATTTTCAGTTGCCCTTTCCTAAATCAATAAAGTTACATTAACAACTTTGAGTAAACTCTATACAGTTGGCGTCGTTTCACTGAATCAAATCTCCTAAAATAGTTTTGATAATATATAAGCTTTGGGGTATTTCTTTTTAATGTTATTATTTAAATTCCTGAGAGGCGGTGTGTCTGCTGATGAGAAATATTATGCATATATTAAATATATTCATTCTTAATGTGCTTCTGTGTTTTTCCAGATCCGGGTAGACGGCTCCTCTCGTGCTCTGCAGTATGAGACGGTGCAGGCAGTGGAGAATGGACCCATCCTCAGAGACATGGCTTTCTCTTCTGACCACCACTACCTCTATGTCATGTCTGAGACCCAGGTCAGACACACACAAACACACATATCAAAAGTCCCCCCTGCTGACTCAATATCATAACCACTGGCATTTATCATTTTGTTATGTCACAGGGTAGAATAACCTTTGGTGTAGCATAGAGGATTTCATTACAGCCTGGCTGGAGGAGAGAAAGGGATTAGATGGACTGTTCGGTGCTATGACCATGTATTTCTATAGAAAAAAAGACTGAAGGTAGAACTGGAGTGAATAAATGTGTTGAATTATAGGGAGAGAGAAGAGTGGTCTCAGTCCACTTGTGTGTGTTGGTGTGTATGTCTGTGCACATACAGATTCACACATTCATACACACTATCTCTCTTAGTACCTTTGATGACATGGAATGTGGAGCGAAATAGCAGCACTCTGTGTAATGGACACAGAGAGACTGTGAACACCTCTATCAGAGGCAAAACCTTGCTAAAATAGCACCATGGAAAGTCCATAACACACATGCTGTGCTCACATAAATGCACACACTCACCGGTGAGTCACTGTGTTCGGTATTCACTTTCTCTTTATATTACATACAAAAAGATACATACCCACGAGCATGCTTGGGTATACTTACATTATATTTTATACATGACCAGGAGATAGAAATGTATGTTTATGTTTTGTGTGGTGAAATAGTTAGTTATTATGTATTTTGAGCTAAACATTGTCAGGATGAATAGTGCAGGCTTGTCAGACAGATACAGCGACTGTTTAAAGTCCTCTGATGATCGAACATGAAGTGTTGAACGTTTAGTCCTTTTTTCTTTAAAATTGAAACAGACCCTTTGCAAAATTATTTCATTTATTTGTTGTCCTTACATGGAAAGTCCTGATCTCAAAAGTTAATTCATCACAGAAACGGTAAACACGCAGACTTCATAAGCATAAGCACAATCTATTCATCAGGCACTGTTAAAGGGATAGTAATCAAATCAGTCCAAGAAGGGTTCATCAATCAAAGAACCCAGGGTGGATCTCTCTCTTTTCAGTTCAGTGTAGCTCCATTTAATGTTCATTACTAATTTGACTGTTATAATATTGCAAAAGCTCGAAAGTTCAGATAATATGCATATCATTCCCTCTTTCCTGCCTCTTTATCTCCTGCCACCCATAATCACAGAAGGCCACTGCTGTTTTGTTGGCAGCGATAGCCTAGTTACCCCTGTATATTGTCTGCAGCTTCCAGAGGATTATAGACCTCTCTGGCACCATGAAAGTGTCAGTATTTACTAATGTGTAGTGCAATTTGTGTGTGTGTGTGTGTGTGTGTGTTGCACCCTGAACCCTGTTTGTAATACTTAATATATTAATAACATTCGGAGTGAGATTAAGAAAAAAAAAACGGGAACGGGACGTATTAGAAATAAATAACCAGCTCTGCGGAGAGGTTTGATGATACATAATTTGTGCCATCTGTTCTTCTTCCTGTTGGACTGCGTCCTGTGCCAGGGCCAGTGTCCAGTCCATTCTGAGAGCTTCTCCAAGCTGGTCCCACCTGGCACAACTGTCCTCAAAACTCACACTGTCGCAGACGGCCTGAGAAGTGTGGAGGCTGTCTGTGACTCAGTTCAGACACGACCGACTGTGGAGGATCAGCAGCGATGAGAAACAAGCAAGGCCTCAAACAATTACAGAGCAGACAGCCTTAATCATAGATTAATGAAAACTTGATGTGCTTCAGCCCGTTCACTCCAGGTGAACCTCGTCTGCTCAGAGAGATCAGACACATGGATCCCTTGTTAACTTCAAAAAGACGCAAGTAAATTATGATCAGTGTTTTAAGGTGTTTAACAGTGAATGGTGTCTAGAAAACGCATTTGTGTTGTGACTTCCGTCACTGTGATCGCTGTCTTGCACCACAAGCTTCAACCTGTATATGACTTAACACTGAGTCAATGAATCTACCCACTAACAAACAGGACATTTATATTTCTGATTCTGTATTCTCTCTTGAAGGTTAGTTGTTTTGAGTGCTTTTGTTTGAATGTCTAGGATAATTTTGCAAAGCTGGTGTCTTCGGAATGGGGTCTGCCACACAATTTACATATATTCATGTTTCCAATCAGTCATGTCGCCTCAGTCGAGACAGCACATAACAAAGCAGCAGAAGATGAAACAGCTACACTTGGGAATTTTACCGCAAAAAAGAAAGAAAGAAAATCAACAAGTTTACTGATTTCTTAACTCAGCTTGTGTTTTAAAAGGTACTCTTAAAATCAGTGAGGAAGAAACAACAACAAAAAAAAAAAATGAAACACAAGGCTTGCCACAAAATTACCATTCTACACATTGTCATCTTTCCTCAGCTCCTCTCTGGCCCTCGCCTCGGCTCATAAGTAAGCTCGCTCTGAAGAGACAATGTGTGATAGCCCCCCTGTGTGGAGCCGAGGGGAGCTCTATGAATAACTCCCCTCGCAGCAGTGAATGGCACTTTGCTTTCCCACAGTATTACTCAGTCTACACCCCCAACATGGCAGGATAAGCAGCAAGCCCAGGCGGTGGCTGAGCGCCCCTCTCCGAGCCGCCAATCACACAATAACTGTTAAACGGACGCTGAGAGAAGCTTCACTATTTATTTAGGTACATCAATGAATACACAAAGACATGTTCGCAGGCCTTGTCACGCTGACTTTGTTGCATGCTTTACAAAAATGTAAATGATTTACTATTGTAGGTAATGATGCTGGGGACAGTTAACTCACAGTTGCTTGTCTGACACTCTGCTATATAATAACTTCCTAATTACACTGTAACCAGTGAGTATCAGTGGGAAGGTGTTCACTACTGCTGTGTTTCATGGTCACTGAGCTGCTGGTACCACTGCTGACACTGGGAGAAGTGTAAAGTGTACTCTCTCATCAAAGGAAAAAATAATAATGGGAAAGATTATTCTGTCTTTTAACATCAATTTTTTTTCTCTCCGCTAATACTCCGCAACGTCAGACTCCGAGTGAATAACACTCTGTGGGTGTTTGAATATTATCCCTGGCTCCTCACAGATATATTCAGTTGTATTTTCCCACATTGATGCATCACTCTTAGTAGTATTTTTCGACGAGTGTTGTTTACTGCTAATTGGGACACAACATCTTTGCTTTTTTCAAGCAAGAAATGTTATTAAAGGTAAGCAAATTCTTGTATGAGGGACTCTATATTGATGTCCATACCAGACACACATACACTCAAAGTGCCACTATGGTTAACTGAGTAATGAGAAAAGAACATTTTACATACAAATCCTGAAAGCCATAGAGTACGACATACGTTGAAGCTTTTAAAAGGTACCAATGCATCTGATGAACACAACGTTGCTTTTCCTTTAAGGGCCAAACCTACTTGGACAACATCACTACCCTAGCAACACATCTGCCCAGTGCTTGCTTTGTTTACTGTGTGTATTTCACCACACTGAAGGGGGTTTTTCCACTCGTATAATTTGACTGACTGGACTACGTTTGACAGCTCAACACGAGTTTTGTGCCTTTTGTAAACACTGAATTCAAATGGATGAATATGGAGCAGGGTGTGTTGCTGAAAACGACATTTGTGTTCAGTCAGCTTTTAAAAAAATGGGTAAAAAGGCAAAACCAGTATGTGGTAAAATAGTATATAATTATTTTAATTTTATGTGATTCACAAACAAACAAGAAATTCTTGCTTGCATTTTTGACTGACATGAGTGTGTCATCTCTCAGCACATGACTCAAACATTGGAGCCTCCTCTGACAGGGGGAAGAAACAAAGAAGAACAAAAAAACAAAACAAAAAAAAAACCACTCGACAACTGCTTTAAATTTCATCGGCAACCCAGACATCCTATAACAGAGGGAAGCGGTAATAAATCTCTCACTGTGTGACTACTCACTCAATATGATTTCCCACTTGGAGCGCAGACTGTCATCAATTTATTGTCAGACACAACTGAAACTATGTGTCTCCAAAGTGAGGTTTACGCCCTTCAATAGTGTTCAGTGGGAGGGCCTGTCACACCACATCAGAAATTTTAAGTCCCCTCTTGTGTAATGTTTTGGATGGTCTCCAGGACACATGAATGCTTCTGGTATCTCCTTAAGACACAGACCAAACACAGCTTCATTCAAGGCGCACACTCTAATACGGAAAACTGTGATTTAGCCCTAAAATCGATCAAACATTTTAAAATAGCAGAGAGAGGAGAGCTGTCTCAATCACATGGAGCCACAACACAAAGAATTTTTGAGCAGCACATTGGGGGAAGCAATAAGGCAAAGAGAGAAAAAAACCCTGTTGAGTCAGCAGACTCATATAAATCACATACTGCAGGGAGAAGTCAGATGACTGTCTAAGGTCATGGCAGCAATTGGTCAGCTTACTGAAGTGCCATGAATTGGATGGATGGCGATGAAGGGGGACATGGTTTCACAAGCAAATGATAAACAATTTCACAGTTACTTAACTCGTCATGCATGCTCTTTTGTCAAGAGACATTTGTGGAAAAAAATTAAGGATCCTATGCAAATAATATCAAAAGTCCCTGCAGGAGATGCAACAGTGATAACCATAGATGATGGAGATGACAAATAAACAACCCTAACCAAAAAGCATTATATAGTCACAATAAACCGACTATTAAACAACACAGAAAAGCCAGAAATCCCTGGAGGGATATTACAGTGATACCACAGGAGATAAAAACATAGCATAAAGCACAAAGAAGTCACTGTGAACCCACTGTTAAAGTACCACAGCCACACCAAAACGCCCCACTGGAAAACTTTGTACAAGAACTGGCACAGGCTTTATCAGGCATAAGCAGCAGCCATAAGCCATCCATGCTGTGAACTCCCACCACACACACACACACTGTATCTCCTGGATGAAAGTACCAAAAGAGGGGAAAAAACAAACACAAACGTACCTTCCAGCCTGCAGAGCTATTGCTGTCTCCTTTGTCCTTGAAATAAGGCACACTCTTCACCATCCAGTCATAAATCTGAGACAGAGTTAGT